AAGATCTTGAGCCAGCCAGTACTTGCTACAAATTCTTGACTGTAGTCTTCACTGGCACACTCCTTCAAAATTTCAAATAGACTTCATCTGGGCAGTAACAAGACTCAACGGAGCTTTTTTCTGGATCAGATCTATCCACATATGCAGCAATTTCTCCATTTTGTGGATGAGCATTATAACTTTTGATCACATAGGTACAGAACCTTTCACAGTTTTACAAATTCTTTCTCTGTCTTTCAAAATCCTTGACATAGTAAGGTGTGATAACTTCAGATCACAGTCAATCACCTTCTCTTTCTTTCCTTCTTCATATCTGTTTAATCAACCGTCATTTTTGTGTTGAATGACAATAGCCTTTCTCTTCTTCTTGGCAGGTTGGGGAGCAGACAAAGACAATTTCCACTTGATAGACATCTTCGGAAGTTTTTAAGAAAAATTTCAAAGATACAAATGGACTTGGGAGTGCTCTACTGAGTCTACCCTAACACTGAGCTTGAGGTGCACAAGGGAATGCTAGTGCTACCAGGAGCTGGGACAGAAACTGTCATATGCCAAGCTAGGAAACACACTTGCTACCAGACACAGAGCAGTTATGGCCAGAGAGTTACCAATTCCCAGTCAAATGGTCGTAAGTCAACAATGACCTGTATATAAAAATAATAAACTCCAAATTTGTGAGAAAAAAAAGGGACATCAATGAATGAAATGCAAGATGCAAATTGCTAAAAGTAACAATTTTAACTTCTGAAAAATTGCTTTGAAACCAACTTTGGTAGAGATAATATTTATGACAACAAATGCACTGACACTTGTGTCATAAATGGTGGCCACCTTCACATCATTTTACATTGAATATAGATTAACATTTACAAATATCATGGATCAAAAAAAGATTACAGGCAAAAGGGAAGTAATATTAATAAAACAGTGTGCTAAAGGTTAAATAGAACTAAAAGTACCTGTGAAAATTTCATAGTTTTCCTATTTTAATTTTCTGACTAATCAATTCTTAAGTTAATAATTGAATCACCTCATGGCAAGTTCTATGGCAATAAAATATCCCTAGAAATTCCCCTATCTTATTGTTAAATATTTAAATAACTTTAACAAAATATTGTAATAACAATCATAAATATGTATGCTGGGTGTTATTTTAAGATGTAAGGGGGTACTAATAAAAAGACCTGAAATTGACAACTTTTTCCATTTCACTGAAACATCTGTTAAACACTTATCTTCCCTTTCTTCTTTATTTAATTTTCTCACTGAAACCAAGTAGCATCTCAGATGTCTACCAATCAAAACAAAATAGTCCATCATTTATGAGGTACTGGCAAGAGACATTAAACACTTCTATCTTCCCTTTCTTTCATTCATTTTCTCACTGAAACCAAGTAGCACCTCTGATATGTTTTTTCCATTTTTTTTTTTTGCTTGATCAAAATGGAATCTGTCCATTATTTATGAGTTATTGGCAGTGCATAACAGCCATGCTAAGAGAGGGACAAGTGGAATTATAAGATATTTCAACAAAAAGAAACAAAAAAAAAAAAAGAAAAAAAAAAACAATGAAATTAATACTAGGGGTGGAAAAAAAGATCAAAACTTGTAATTTATGTATAGGGAGAAAAAATGAAGAACTTTAAGAAATTAGTATATGGTCTCTTGCTTTCTCCTTTTCCAAACAAAAACTTAAAATTTTTAATAACAACATTTAAAAAGTCAATTTTTATAGCAACTGAGAGTTAACTACTACTTTCCAGTGAATGCAAGAGATAGACCTCACATTAATATACTAGTAGTAATTATACTAACAAACATCTCAGATGGTCGATTTCTTTTTGTTTGGTAGCTCAGCTTTTGTTACTTCCCCACCACTGTCTTTTCTATAAATACCTTCATGGTAAGTGTTCAGATGAACTCTTCGCTACAGTACCAAAACTTTTTGAATTTAAAAAGTACTTGACTGGTGTCGAGATCTCATCATCATACAGTTGATCTGGCTAGATGTAGCCATAAGTTCTATGCTAAAAGTTTCTTTTCTTGCACTTCTCACTTGTGGAAGTCCCTTCCAGCTCCATGCTTTCCAGCAAACTTTAATCTGCAAAAATTTAAGTGCAATGTCAATCGCTATCTACTGTCTTCCTGATTACTCTTCTCTCCCTACTAATTATTAATGTTTCTGTTCCTAATACTTGCACACGCTATAACTCATTGTGCCTTAGTGGCTTTACTGTCTTGCATGAGTTGAAACTGATTAAAGAAAAAAAAAGAAAAGTTTTTTCTTTTAAACAACCATTAAAAGAAAACTATATATGAGAGAGAGTGAAAATCAGAAAATATCCATTGTAACTGTAAAACTTTATATTGTTTTGTTTGAAATATATGAGGGGTAAAAAAAAAAAAAAAAAAAAAAAAAAGCTTGGAAAACTTATCCTCCCAACTCCATGCACAAAATAATACTATGTTAATCAAATTTAATATTTAGCTACACTTGCCGCACAAGCATTTCAATATAGAAAATTCTGCAATAGTACATTTTTATTTTTTCAAATGTCGTAATTGGTGGAATATGGTGTTAGTATTAGCAACCTAACCCTAAACAAAAATCAATCTACTTAAGTCTCAAGAAAATTCTTACTCATTGCCATAAGAATTTACGGAACAATTGAATAGTACTTAAAATGAATTGCTAAATAACTTTTAGAGTTCAAGAAATCAGTACCAGCTTCTATTTTTCTTAAGTCATTGGAATATTGACAAGCAAATAACTATACTGTTTTATTGTATTACCATCCTTCTTAGTGGGTCATGTAAACATTATGAACAATACTTTTTGTTATAGCATAAAGAATACATTTCTCAAGTGGGTGGTTAATGTTTGAGAAATACTGGTCTCGGCAATTATTCAAGTAAATGTAATTTTATTATATTTTCTATGAAATATTTTTTCTTAAGTGACTCATTCAAGAAGAATACATGAGTGGAGTTAATTTAAAGATGCAGATTTTTTTAATTTACATGAATAAGAAAAGTACTGAAATTTCTTCTTTTTTCTTTTTTAAATTTGAAGAAAAACGTTGGATTCTTATTTACAATAGAAAGACATTCAGAGAAATAAATGTGGACAGTTTGTCTCAATCAGGTCACATTCAAATTAGGAAACCCCAAATGAAAGTGGCCCCAAAGCAAATGGAGCTTGCAACAAACAAACAAACAAACAAACAAAAAAAAAAAAAAAAAAAAAAAAAAAAAAACAAAAAAAAAAGGAATTTTGTATTTTCTTGTCAAATGTTTTGATAAGAAGGCCTTCACCTATGATTAAACAAAATTTTATTTTCAATTTAGAAACCTTGCTGAAAATATAAGAATGAAACAGAAATTTAGCTTGTTAAATAGATAAAAACAGACCAAAGAGGTTGATTAAAATTTGTTCAAAACTTGTAAAAGAAAAACAGATTGTCTCCAAGATTCTCTCTTTGTTTTTTTTTGTAGCCATATTTAAGTTAGCAGACATTTTTTAAATTATATGTAATACTCATAGGATCAATTTAAAATAAAGATATATATATATATATATATACTTGACTATTAGCCAAAAAAGAGAGAGATAAAACAGTGATAAGTATTAAATTAACAGGATTATTATTATTTTTTTTTTTTTTTTATTTATTAAATCAGATTTTTTTGCAGTAGAAAGCTAGTGGTACTCTAATTCAATATATTCATCAACCTTCAAATTAAATTTAATTTGAAACAAAATAAAGTAACTTAAGACAAACTTACACTCTAAAAGCTTGTTATGTAAAATTGCATTTCTAACTGATGATAACCAATTACTTTTAAATTACATTAAAGATGTCAATGAAATTAATCAACAGTTAAATCCAATTACAAGGTGAGGAAAATAAAAGGTGTGACAAACACCTTCCACATAATGATAAGACATTAGTTAGCTGAAGACACCAATGTCATTAATGTTTTACCATTATGTGGGAGATGTCTCTGTATAAACATAGGGCATTTGATAAGAGAAATTTACTTTAAACATCTCAAGAAATGACTACAAAGTTTAAGATAACATTAACAAATTTAAATTTTTAATGTTTTTGCTTTTCTTACTTATCCAATTTATTTGTAAATACAATATCAACTATAAAGAAAAATTAAGTTTTTGATGTATTAAAATACAAGTTTCAAATAAAAAAAAAAAAACATTACATGACAAATCCTGATTCACAAATTAAGATAGGATGGAGGAAATATTTTTTCTAGAATACATTTTTGAAGGTAAACATTTTATGAAGGAGAATGACTCTAAACATCACTATTTTTAAAATTCATTAAGAATTTAAAAAAAAAAAAATAAATAAAAAAAATACAAAGACCTCGCTCTTGCACAAAAGTAAGAACTGATAGAACGCAAAATCAGAGAGAAAGGACAGAAGAGTAGATGTTTGGCTGTAGCTAGTATTGAGAAGAAAAGTTTTTTATTGCTTAGTGTATAAAAATACAAATTGCATGCTAAGAAGCGTATTTGGCTGAGCAATCATGCAAAAAAAAAAAAAAAAAAAAAAAAAAAAAAATGGGAAGGTTGATGAAAATGTAATTAAAAGAAAGTAATTAGTACTTAAACAACCTTGACACATTGGTTTCTCAAAATGAATTCAACAAAAAGAAAGTGTTTATAATTAAAAAAAATCCATAAGCCAAAAATGTCCTACATGCACAGAAGTGCAAGTGGTTCTTTATAGACATGCACAGCTGCAATCTTACATGCACCAGTAGCATGAATGAAGATAGTTTTAACTGATGAAAATGAAACTGGATCCCCCAAATGACAGTAACTACAGGTATGTGCCTGACCATGAAATGACAAAAGAAAAACAGATGTGAAGAAAAAAAAACAAAAAAAACACAGCTCTAAGAAATGTGTTTAATAGTTCCAAGAAAAGATTCTGCATTGAAATTCTCATGCGCAATGTGAAATTTTTCCATACCTTTCACAGCGATACCCAACTAACCGAACTGGACAATCCAACATGATTGGAACCCTGTTAATGAAGGAAGAAAATCTAATTGCAGCTGCTGCTTTTTATCCTTAAGCAATTGTATAACAATAACCTGTCAGCTAGTGTACAAACTAGCTTTTATTTCCTATCGCCAAGAATGTTGCTATTAACCCTTGCATCAATCTGCTTTTAATAATTAGTGACTGGAGTTTAGAAATTTCATTTCACTAATATCCTCATCTTTCTTGCTCCTTTCTGATAACAACATATAGAAGAACCTTCAGATCTAGGTCTTAATTATTTAATTGCGGAAGATTTTAATTCATAGATGTTAACAAGCTCAAGCCAACACAAAATTATTTCACTCGGGTCCCCATAGATAAAACAATAGTTTCAAAACTTTTGATATGCAACAAGTAACAGAATTTATTTTCTCTAAATAGCTTTTGGAGCAGAAACGTTTAAAAATCTAACAAACAATTATAGCTATGCTTATATAGATGTCTATTATACTGAATAAAATAAATCCTAGCCATTAGGTTTCGATTTGTTTTATTTACCAACAAAATTTAAAATGCAACATGCTCATCATTTGATAATTTATCTTTATTAATAGTCATTAAGGAGATATATATATATATATATATATATATATGAGAAAAACTTTTTCATACAAATAGAAAATAACTTTATTTACCCATTTACAGCCTGTTTCATGCATGGGTATTTTTTTAAAATAGGTGCTTGTTCATCTGGGAAATAATTTTAAAATGATGTGCAAATGATTTGCTATCTATTCAAATATAGGAGACATAAAAATACCACCATGTTGTCAAAACACCATTAGTAGAATGGTATAAAAGATTTTTTTAATTTGTAATCTGTGTATGGAGGAGAAACTTGAAATCATACAATTGAAGAATGTGAATGATAATTCCTTTTGTGTATTAAACTATTTTAAACTGTAGGTATACTGATGCAGTATGCCTACAAGATTTAGCATCCTTTTTTCACCTTTTTAAAAAGGTGGGGAAAAAAAAGACGCTATATCTTGAAAATGTTCAAGATAAAAAAAAAATGCCCATTTTGAAAAATTGCTACACATGAAACAGGTTGTAAATAGATAAGTTAAAAAAAATGTAATTTTAAAATGTAAAAAACCTATCTATACTCTTTAATATTAAATTATAAATAAGAAGCAATAACAAACAGGTATATTCCAAACAATAGTGATCATTATAAAAGCTTCTATTAAATTACAACAAATCCTACACAATAATTACTTATTGACTTATTGCTACAATACTACAATAAGTGTTTAGTTCCCGACAAGCATGTATAAATGTGCAATATTTTAAAAAGCACAGAAGACAAACAGGAGTGAATAAATATATATATATATATATATATATATATATATATATATATAGTGGACTCTCCCGTCATATTTGGCATATGAGGGTCAAGCAGCCCAGTTTCTAGGAACTGATAGCCCAGATATTAGCACATATGATTTGATTATAGTGGTAAAGGCTTTGTGCAGAACCAACCACACTTTATGAAGAGCCGAATACAGAGACCTGGTGAACTACGTGCCACAAGGTCCCCAAATGACTCTGCAGGTTTTGAATTCTGAGTTGTCCTTCTCCTAGACCAGTTGCTATCCAAGGCTATAGAACCCAGTGTGTCCTGTTATTTACCCATAGCTGGAGGGAGAAGAGGATTAATATCTTTCCCAAGGGTATTAGCAAGTAAGTGAATGTAATGGATTTGACTGGAATTCAAACACGGCTCTCCAATTCCGCAATCCAAGCAGCTATCCATTATTGGTAGGGGGGTAGGGATGTATTTTTCAATGAAATCTGACATCTGTTGAATGCATGTCATCTGGATTTTTTTTTAAATTTATTGTTAACGGCAAAAATTCTTACGGCATTTTTTTCTATTTGTATATTTAAAGATTTTAGGGGTGTTTAGGTTAAAATACGTTTTATTTAACTACGATTTGAAATATTTTAATTTTTATTATACTATATTTTTTTAAGAACAATTAAATGTATTAGAATCCCTTATAGTATGTAAAATTATTTTTACATCAAGTATAATTATGTATATTAGGTTACAGAATTTTTTTTTTTTGTATTTAAATATTATTATTTAAGTAAAATTTATTTCAATGACGGCCCTTGTCCAGTTGAAGTAGATTTATCTGTAATCTTGGAAACGTGAATTATGATTTTAGCTGTGTCTTTAAAACCCAGTAATTTTAAAAGTTATTCCAAAATTCAATTGAGGATGAAATGGAATTAATGTCATTAATTTAATTACAAAATTAAATTTGTAGGTTTTAGCTTCCATTTTTGAAACATGGTTAGAACTGTGTAGCGAAAAAAAAAACATATTTTAAATAAATCAATTTATAATATATATATATATATAAATGAACATAGAAGTTAACACTCAGAGGTGACAGTGCTTTATATACACACACACACTCACTCACTCACACACACACACATGCAAGAGAGAGAGATGTATGTATGTATAATTCTTTCCTGTTTGTCTTCTGTGTTTTTAAAACATTGCACATTTATGCACATGTCCTTGAGAGACTCTGAAGAGTGAGGATCAAAACTGGTTAGACCTTTTTTGTCATGTGTTTTGTTGTTTGTTTTGCTTTTTCTCCTTTCATTTCTCATCTTTATGGTAACTTTATTATCCTTGTTTTTAACCCCTTGTTTGTTGATTATTTATAAGTTTGTCTTTGTATGTTTGTTACACATTTTAACATGTCCGTATTTCTAGGAATAATAGTTTTTGTTGATCTCTAAGCAAAAAAACTTTTTTTTACAAATACTTGCTATTAAATTAACAAAATTTCTTATTTTATAGAACAGAAAGAAAAAAAAAGTGCAATGATTTTAGCTTAAATTATTTAAATTCTTCCTCCCTAGCTTCATTAGGAGTGTGCCCTTTGTCTGTCATATTTGATGAAGCTTTCTTGAAAGAAGGATTGCTGCCTAAAAAGTGTCTGTATATATATTCGTTTTAAGGTATGTTATATTTATGTGTTAAAGTGCTCAATATCAGGGATAGAGCATATGTAAATATAATAATGGACATTGAGGTCACAACAGCCAGCAGTGACAGCTTCATGCTTAAATGTATAATCAGATGGCCTGACAATTATGATTAAGCATGAAACAGACTGTCACTGCTAGGTGTTGACTTCTTGAAGGAAAATTATTTCTATGCAATATGCATGATTCAAAATTAACAATTCTTTTGATTGTTCAATAATATTACATTAATATTATATATAATACATATAAATAGTCATAGCCAAGAGAACCAGATGTTTTTCGTCACATATAAGAAGTAAGATACTTTAATAGCATTTTCTTTCTTCCAAAATTATAATTTACAAGAAAACAGGAAAAATGCCCTCAGAAAATTATACATATCTCATTAATAAGACATTTCCAAAAATATTCAAATTACTTGGAAATTCATCAGCAGGAGTAGAAGACTATTATTAGGTTTAAAACAGGAGTTTATTTAGGTAAATTTCATGCCGATTGAACTTAAAATAGCTAATCAACAGAAAACAACCTTTACCCTTTTACAAATATAAAATACAAAAAGTTACAATTTGAACTTTAAACATGTTTTATTGAATAGAAGCCTTTTGGTGAGTTTCACCTGAACAATGACAGCTGAAAGTAATAGGAACATTATACACAATTGCAGGAAATTCCATTGCAAATTTCCACCTGACATCAAATGACTTATTCGACATAAGAAAATCACTAAAAGGCATAACAGATACCACTTGTTCATTCTACTTAATAAAACAGGTTAAACAAGGGATTGCTGCCTAAATATACTAGGTTTCAATATGAACTTTACCAACAAAGCATTCATTGTATTTGGAAGCAAAAAAAAAAAAAAAAAAGAAAGAAAAAAAAAGCTAAAAAGAAAGCTTGTTCTAAATGTGAACTTTAGGCCTTTTTATAAGAGTTTTAGCCTTGACTATAATTGTTGACTGAAATTTTTCATGAATATTTCCTGTTAAGATGAAAATATGTCATATGTACCATCAAATATAGTAAATAAAGAGTTTTTTGTCTCTGAACTGATGGACATTCCCTAACTGTACAATCATCATTGGGATCATGGGTTGGGGTGAGATAACTAGTGATGTATACATAAACAGACAAGGTTTGCAAATTAGTACAGAAAAAGAAGAAAAAAAACTTTACAGATAACAAACATGGACATTTTATCATCATCATCATAATAATAATAATACACATCAAATCCTACATTTTTCAAAATTGCTAAGAGAATTTTTGTAAACAATAAAAGAAACTGCAGTTTAGTAATTCTCTAAAGGAATCCATTTTGGAGATGAAATGTATAGGATTTAAAAACATTTAAAAATTAATAAGTCTTTTTCATATCAGTTTGTTCTTTTTAAATTTCATTTATATACAAAAAGTGTAATTTGATATTGCAAGTAATGAATTATTAAAAAAAGCATAAGTCAACATATAGAGAGAGGTTGGGGTTATTTTTTTTTTTTTCTTAATGTAATTTGCCATTTTGGACTGTATGAGAGAGGAAATAAATGTGAACATTTTGTCAAATTAAGGCATCTGACTGTAATGCATTTGTCTTAACCAAATGACTGCAAAGAAAAATCAATGCTAATTTACTTAATTATAACAAAGTCGTTCGTGTAAAACTTTATCCCTGGCCTTGAAAAACTTCTCATAGGGCATCATCAATAATTTCAACTGTTTGTTCTCAGTTGGTGGGAAGGCACCAGTCTATACAAGATCACTTTCATCTAAGTAGTCACCAATCAATTAAAAAGAAGTTGTCTGCATCTTTAGAGAAAAAAAAAAAGAAAAAAAAAAAAAATATATTATTTTGTCATTCTAGCTACCAACCATTTTACTGGCAACCATTTATTCTCCTATGGGAGCAAAATGTTAATGTTATATTATTGAAACTATTTCAGTAGAAA